AATTCTACATCAAATATAAAAGCTCTCAGCTGTCCAACTGTTTATATCACATAAGGTAAAGTGGTTGCTCCACTCTTCGTATATTCCTTTTGGTACCGAAATGCGTCAATAATATATCAGACGACGTTTTTTTAACTAACAAACTGTACATTCATGAACACATATATTGAAGGTGTTCGCATCTAATGGAGGCTACGTAAAATATACAAAACTGAAATTGGTGGTGAATGAAACTTGAGCAGCCTATCCAGAACGGCGCCTGATTTCCATTGGATCAAAAAGCAGAAGGCAGAGTCAATCGGTTGAACATTTTTTGCGGAGTTGTTCTTGATAGAACACTGAAAGTGCTCCAGTCATGCAAGCTTCTTGTCACATGAAAGAGCACTGGATTAAGCATCAGATTCATAAACTGAACAGCACAATGCTTTGAAAATGTCAATGGAAATAGGAATCGCGCAAATCGCGCAAAAATTTACACGTGAAAAGTTCCGCAAATGAGGCCATCATTCGCACAACTTCCTGATCGAACGACGAATGGAGTGCAGCTTGGTGCATGCATATATTCATACATGACTTTTCTGCGCTATGGCTGGACTCATAGGTCACTGATGTGTTACTTCAATTTCCTGTCGAAATGAAGCATTTGCGAGAATGGAATGCGATGCGCGAAATTTAATTTCAAATACAATTTTAATTTCAAATACAATTGCAAGATAGGGAAAGTTTTATTTTATTGTGAGGAATGTGAAAAATTTCGGATTTGAGGTTAAAAAGATTNAGCAGCGAAAAAGTCGAACGAATATAGTATTCAGCAGGATTCTGGCGTACAGTTCATTGAAGAACTGATTGTGCCAAAAACTGTAAATACAGTGAGCATTACGGAAGTAAAACTTATATCGTTAAAAAATGCTAATAGACATTCTCGTAAAGAGGACGTAATGATCAAAAGCATATGAAGAGGTGATCACTGGCATGATAACTGTGGAAATGGCGATGGTAACATCAACTTTGACTGCGGCAATTAGTAATTCATGCGCAGTCGTGATAATGATATGCAGTAAAGTCAACATATGTGAATAAGGTATGACGAAGTTGCAATAAGAGGATTACATAATTCGCTGATTACATTCATGAGCTCATTCATAAACGAGTGTCGCTGATGACGGTTCTATCCATAACCGTTTGTTTGTTTGTTCGATACTGAAAATTTAGAGTGAAAGTTTTGCCATCAACATCCCAGTATGCGTTCGCCAATCGGCCGTCAGTAAGGCTTTCGCTTCTACCGAAAACAAATCTGAGCGGTATTCATTGAAAGCTATCCGATACAATACGACGACATGAGCATGGACAATTCAGTTGCGTTTTATCATCGAGCGGGACGATTTAGAATCAAACGGGCACTCGATTGCGTAACAATAATACTAATAGTAATAATAACAATGACAGTGGTAAAAAAGCTTGATCGTGAAGGCTTCATAAATAAATCATGCATACAAATGATTCTGCCAGCAGTACAGTTGAAGATGATGCAGTAATGATAATGTGATGTGGCTCATGATGATTAATACAAAACAATAGCGGCGTATTTGATGATTTTTATTTGAATAGAATTCACATCGTCCGATAGGTACATTCATTTTGGTCATTAGTGTGCAACAAGTTTTTAAGGTATATTTAAGGTGTGCTTGAATGAGAAGCATAATGTTTGATGCAGATAATGATGAATGGATGGATAGATGGATAGATGGATAGATGCTCTTCTCTCTGTATTTGTTTGCTGCTCTAAGACCCTATAAAGTTCTTCTGATCGCTGCTCCACCACCACTGATCAGCATATCCAAAAAATTGATGCTACTTACCACAATCCACATTTCAACTTCAACAACTATTTTTCATTAGCAATTTGCTACAAATCTTCCTGCCTCTCCTCTTCTCCACTCCTCTCCCCCTCTCAAAAAACCCCCCTCAAACGTTCGAAACAAAACAATGGCACTCATTCATTTGCGCTTTTTTTTCGGTTTTGTTTTTTTTGTGACGAATGTGGAGAAAGCAACAAAAATTTTTGGTGCGTTCACGATGCTGGAGGATTTCGATTGTTCGAATGATTTGCACATACTCTGACGATGAATAAGTTCTCCAGTACCATCATAATATTAAGTGATTCAGTTAATTCTTTAAGAACTGAAATTTTTTTGAGAACTAAATTTTGTGCCTAAATACTAATTGATGAATGATCTATTATCGTTACTGTTATCGTCGATTCTGACAATTAGCACAAATCCTGCTTTCGGATATGGACAGTTGAAAACGAGTTAAAGAGTTTGTCAAGTTCACTGCGCAAAAAATGAAGACTGATGATGTAGGGTTGAGTCAAAATGCATGCGTGACAATAAAAACGAACCAACCTGTGACTCGAACATATTCAACAGTCGATCCAAGTCTTGATCGGTATCTGAAACGAGTTGACGTCGTCGATCATTATCCTTTTTTGTTGTCTCACTTAGTCCTTCTTGAGCACTTGTAGCACCTGTAGCTTTACAAGATCTTGTAATAGGACACAAACTCAATTCAGTGACTTTTCAACGAACTAGACGCAGCAAATGCACTGAATTACTTAAAATTTGCGGCATTGTTTGGCTGATACTAAGTTTGCTTGCTGATACGAAAACAATGCAAGAAATGGCATGGCGTCTGTATGGCGAAAGTTCATCAACGTCAAATCTGATCAGACACTCAACACTTGAGAATTTGATATCTCAGCGATTACAGAAGGATATGAAGTTTGGAGATGACGACAGTTCTGTGCAGAATTTTGGTTTCAGAATGCAATCAATCAAATGAACTGAATCGAGTGGTAAGTGAAAATATCGATGTAGGTGACCTGATGATGAAGATTGAAAGGAGGTCTGTGGCTGTGCGGATACTGAGCGAGTCGGGTTATGTTCCCTGTTGAAGGATTGCTCTGAAAGAAAACATTCCTGGAAAACAACCTCTTTTTGGTCATTTCAGAATGGAATAATTCAGTGTTCTTCTGCGTGGTGCAAATTTCTGAGAAGCAGAATATGTCAAAACAGTAAAAGCAAACTGAACCATCGAAAATTCACGATTGTTCGTCGCGAAACAGTTTTATCGGCTAATTTGTGAAAATTGCATCTTACTGAGGAATTCTCACTGAAGAATGCTTCCGGTCATCATGATATGCTTGACTACAAAACTTGTTTCAACCGAAAAAGTGGATTAAATTCAGCAGTTCAATTGAAATCAAATGATATTGAAGGCACATTTTAAGCATTTTAAAAGGATTGATGAAACATAAATTTAAACATGGACAGCAGTTACGCAAACAAGCACGAAGAAAATTGAAACGACAACAGTTTGGAAGAAAAACTGGAAATGATGACGATTCTGTGCAGAATTTTGGATTTTGACGTTACGAAAATACTTTTGCGTCTCTAGAGACAAATGTGAGGTGAATACGATTTTCAATAGCTTATGATCATAGTTCTGCGATGTTTTCATCTCGCTAAACTGTCAAATAATTGTTTTGTTTTTTTTTCCAGATTTTATGCCCTTCTCTGAACAATTCGCATTGGAGTTCAGTCATTGTCGAAACNTCCATAGAACGTACGTATCGAACAAATGCTTCTATGAATTTGACAGCTAGGTATGTGTAACTGACATTGTTGTTGTATTGGCTGAGAAGTCTTAAGTTCAAACCAAGCAGATATTCCCATGCTTAGTGAAATGTTAAGTCAGCGCAGGTGTTACCGGATGAAGTGCTGCTACTACTGTAAGTGTATCGGTACAGTATGCTCGGCAAGAATTCCCTTCACTCGTATCTATCTTTACGCGCATTGTATTATTCATCACTGGTCATAAATTCGAGAGCGCTCTTGGACTGTTGTTGTCGCTCAAATGATGTTTATTTTTAGAAGTTAATAGAATCACCTTTTTCTATGAACATTAGACTTGTTTCAGCGTAACGAAGATGTGCTTTAAAGACTGAGACTTTATAGCGTTTTGTTTCGGCTATGATTACGCTCGGCTCCAGTCAACACAGACACACAATATTTCATGATCAAATTCATGGATTATTAAAATGTGATACTTTTGTGCATGAACATTTTCGCTCAAAACTAACGCATAGAAAGCCTTTTCAAGTTTTTCTAAGAAGTGGTTCATGTATCGGGAATAACAAAGTGATCGCCAATGGAGGTCAAAAGCTTCACTGGGGATGGCCAAGCTCATCCGGTTTGATCGGCTGCGCTTGAATGCATCAATTTCAAGCGAAAATCGAGGCTAAGCGCAGCTTCAGACGCATCAAATGTTTAAGACGCCTTCAACAGCACGTTCGTTTGCACCCTGACCTTCAGTTCAAACAAAACAGCCTAAAATGCATTTATGAGTTTCAAAGAGCAAAAAATTCAGTGTTCTTCAGAGACCAAATAATTCGGTTATCAATCGTTTGCGTGTCTTTTGAAATATTTAGCGCCAGAAGGTGGCATTTTCAATCCAATCAGCTTTGTTTTTGTGTTCAGCCAAAAATTTTCGGCTATCTGGTCATCTGATCTATTCGCCTACCGTATACATAGGTGAGTGAGCTCAGATCGAGTATTTTTTGCTGCTTGTCAGCTAGAAAACAGCAGAAATGAGGTAGGTGGATGGGTGGGTGGAGGGGTGGGNAAAAAAAAATCCTATGATATGCTTCGAAAGTACATATTCTTAACGTCATTCGAATGGACACACAAATACAAACATCAAAGTATTTTATTGTATGAGAATGAAGTGAATGGATTCAAAATGTTTGAACGCTAAACACGAGTGAATTGCACGAACAATGATAAAACAAATACCCTAGAATGTACTTGATTCAATTCGTTGTTTAGTCTTTCATTGCTACGAAATACGTACAACTCATTTCGAAACACTTTTTTCAATAACTTTTGCTATTGAATGAGTCAAATGTCATCAATAAAGCTGCAAAATTTTTTAGGTGAAAATGATCAATTAAGACGTGTTTGATTCGAATGAATCAAAAGGTTTTCGGAAGTATTTCAGACGCACATTTAATTAGAGGTCAGAAGATTAATTTTGTGCCAGATAGCAGCTCTTACCGCTGCAAATATCATTCGGGAAATGAGCTATGAGAAGAACACGGAAGCGCGATTCTATCATGATGAAAAATTTTGATTTGATTCTATCATGATGAATAATAATGAATTTTGGATTTGCAGTGAACACTACGGCTGATAAGCACAACGAATTCACGAAGTGCAACAGCCAAAGAGAGGAAACGTCGGACTGCAATGGTAAAAACGAGGAACTTTTGAATAATTAATGAGAATTTAATTGTTTCAAATGTCATCGTTGCTGAGAAGAGTATTGTTGAGGAACAATACTCAGTGCAGTGAAGGATTCGGATGAATGAATGAATATCAGTACTGTGGTCTAGCGAACGAATCACCTAATTGTATCTATTGAAGTGAAATGAAATTTGATAGCCACGAATCATCGTGTTGCTCTTGTTACCGTCAACATCAACAACGTGAATAATGATTGGTATACAGCAGTCCAATTCATTTGAGATATGCTTTATCTTTACTCACTGTATCGTCGTTGTTTTCAAAAGTTGATAGTTCATTGAATATGTGGGCTAAATGATGGAATAAATGCTTCTTTAGGTGATGCTAGCACCCATTCTCAAAAAATGGTTCCGTATTCGAGCTATTTTCAGCATGGAAAAATTCTCATGCTTGATGAGTGAATGCGTTCTGGTGGCTGACCGATAAACAAATGAAAAAAAAAACAGATGCGGTGAGATGTTTCAGTAGCCAGCAGAGGTTTTGATAGAATTGATAATAGCCTTAACTATACCTTCGGAGGATGATGTTGTTGGCATTGATTCGAAGATGTCGTCCATAGAAAATTCCATTTGATCAGGAAATAGAAGCGCTTCCTTGAAATGAGCTAAATCAGCATGCTAATTGTGCATAATTCAAGAACACCTCAACAGCGAATGACTGCTTGAACAGCTTATCAAGGTATCAGGCATGAATGAGTGCAATTTATTATGATCGACAATGAGTTCAATAATATCAACAAAGAAATGTTCTAATTACATGGTCAGTCACTTCAGTGTATAACACAATCGCCAAACAGATAAAAATGGAATTCAACTGAATGCATGGCAATGATAAAAAGCATCTGTTGACGTAGCTCTATTGAAGCATTTATNTCAAATGTAAAATCAACTCTGAAATTGGCTCTCGAGTAGTATTTCTGCGATGAAACGCAGCTATCGCAATGCTCCAACGAGTCCCCTTCCGGAAACGAGGTTCTCAATTCATTAACTATCAGAGCACGTGATAATATTGTATCATTAAAGCCCACCAGAATTTGCAGCGACAATTTTGATGCATGCTTAAACATTTGATTGCAGGTGAAATTCTTGTTATGGTATTCTTGTTATGGTATCAGAACTAACAAAATAGCGATCAAATTGGTCTTTGTGATGTTCTCACCATCATGGCTAGCATTATAATCGCATTATTGGAGCACTGTTTTCGCTTACCGACGAATGGTGGCCACCTTCTGTTGCTAAGTGGTGGATCGTAACTGGGCTTGTACGAGTTCTTGTTGAATTTGAATTTGCCAAATCGATGATATCGATAGATTGAAGCCTTGATGATGTCGTAAACGCTTCACGTCTACCGGATAATCTGTCCAAACGATCGAAAAAATGCCTCAAGTTCAGGTAGCGATCGCTTGAAACAGTCGAAGCCGTCCTGTCGGTCACACCAGACGTTCTCGCTTCTCGACCACTCTGTAGCAATTTTTTCTGATCACGCAGTAAAATCCTGGTCATTCCATTCATTCTAAAACGGAACTGACAAAATAACGATCAGAATGAGTGGATTTTCACTACATCTGAGCGCTCATCCTTACTGAGACGAGTGATTCAGGTAGGAATACTAACGCTTAAATCATTCATAATGCTTAACTTTGTTTTGCTTTCTTTCAATTGGATGGAAACTCTTCCAGTGACAATTTTTAGGGGAGGAACACTTTCTTCATGATATGGCTGATAGATTTCGATTGGAGCTCAATCGCAGGACGATCAGGATTGATAACAACTACCCACGAATGCCGAATATACACTCATCAACTCCATTTGATGGAACTATCTGCAATGGTTGGCTTTATGGTAGTGCAAAACCTGAGAACTCTTTCTTCATCATACAGACCAAGAAAGAGTTCTCAGCTTTCAAGCGCAAAAATGTTTCTCGTACCTCAGATTGAGTCACGTTCGAATAATTGAGATAGTCGGGCAGTGGACGGTAACGATCAACGCACCCGTCTAGCAGCATCGGTGAAATGACGATTTCTGATAATGATCACTAATCGCACAATTTACAGTCTAGCTGGTGATATTCTGAAATGCGTTTGATGCTCGATTGACTGAGTGAAACGAAATAACCATTGAACAGCAGCAGCAGCAGCACTGAATCAGACGAATCTTGCAAAATCAACGATAAGCAAAAAAAAATTGGAGCCTATGCGAGCGAATAATTGACCTGTTCAACAAGAAGCAAGTTTACTGAAAACTGATGTTTTTTAAGCTCACAGGAGACTTTTTTTTTGTGATTCGGGGAGTTGTCATGTGATAGAATATGCTTCATAATGTAGTTAGTGACACGCTTAGAACAGTTTTCTGATATTGTCCTCGATAGTTCGGTTTTTTTTTTCTTATTTAACTAAGTTCATTAACAATAAGCACAATCCAAAACATCATCGAACGCATTTGTTTGCTGGTTTGCGCAAGTCATTAGTGATAACGAGACTGAAATGAGCATGCTAAAACAGAATATGCAAAGAGTTTTCATAGAATCAAACGACTGAATGAAATGCGATAAACCGAGCGAAATATCCGGGCACCGAATGGACCATTCGTATCAGCAGCTGAGGATTACTTCTTTTTTTTTTTTTGCTTCACTGAGATCAAAACATAGATCATACGGGATTCATCATCGAGTGATATCGTCTCAGTTAGAGCAACTACAGTCAATCCTCAGCCAATTGACGAAGCGACTACGACGTTAACCTTGTAGTAAGACAAAAATAACTAAATCTTCAAGAGAAGTTGCTGGTGATGCCCATTAGGAAATGATTAGCTTTCATGCATTGAGCAGAAACATGCCTGATGATGGCTTATTATCGCCAG